TCACTGGAAACCATACTAAAGATTGAAAGGCTCAAATCTATACAACAAAGAAAGTAATATTCGATGATGATGGTGCAATGTTGATATAGCACATAGGTAGGATCAACGTTAGATTTGTCTTCTGCTATGTTAAAAGAAAGCTTATCGTGACTCCGATGCCTAGAGTATGGTCATGTCTCATTAAAACGCAAAGACGTTGATAAACCAAAGCTGTGCTTCAATTGTGGCACCTGCAACCATCAGAAGCAATATTGTAAGAATTGATCTACGTATTTTCTCTGCGAGACAGGAGACATAAATAACAAAGCTACCAGTACAGCATGCTCAACATTAAGAAGATCGTTGAAAGAAGCCAGTAGAAGGTCATATGTAGGGTGTAAGTAGAAAGTCATGGCTTCGAAAAGATATAGCAGTTAAAAATAATAGACCCAAACTAAGCTTAGTTATTTACTTGTAAGCTAAGCAAAGCATCAAGCACATAGTGGTGCTTGCAGATAATGCATCATGTGAAAACGGGCTAGACGTATGTGCCAATAAGACCCTGAGTGCTTTTAAGGATTTAAGAGGATAAGCACCTGTAGCAACTGGTGGTCAATTTGTTTAAAAATGCTGTGAGGTGCGACGATCATACATATACTTCCATAATAGACGCCTAATTGAAGGAATTTCTATGAAACGATGGTTTTTATAACCCACTACGCTGCGTTAAAGCTTATGTCATCACGGTTATCTGAGGATACTCATTAATCGGGCGTTGTTTTGATGAATATTTTAATGTTTAATGAATAAATAATTATAGAAAGTAAGCACCGTAAATAGAAAAAGTTTTTATTAAAGCCATGGCACAAGATTTTATCGGGCATACTAGCACAAAACTCTGCACTTTTATCGAACCTTTCAATGATCTCAAAAGCATTTCCTACCACGAACTCTGATTAAATATTTAACTTTAAGCTCACATGTGTCAGGTGCGCTCAAACACTCATTCTTAGTCACGTTTCTATTTTCAACCCCCAATACATTTTTATCTGAAAGGGTAGAAAAAATAAATTATCGTACCACTTCGTCTTTGAGAAAGTAGAATTACTAATGCTAGTAAATGTCACTGCAGGACGTTAATCATATCCGTAAGTTGTTTTAAGTATATCATTAAAACTTCTTATGAACAATTTATGTGGTGTTAAAAAAATTAGAACATTTCACAAAAAATTGCTGATTAGTCAGCAGTACTGTTTTTTTAATGTTTGATTATAAAAAATCTTTTTTTTTACCTGTAACCTTATAAGGAAGGCACATAACAAACTTCTGTTCCTCTTATTTCTCTGAATTTTTTATCTACTTACTGTAATAGAGTGCTTAAGTCAAACAACTACTTTAATCATGACTGAAAAAGTAGTGATAGAATTAAACACAATGAAAAATAACTAATATATTAATACAATGTTGTATCAATAAGCCACTAATAAAAAATTAAAAAAAGTAAAAGAAATTCAAAACTGCTTCAAAAATGCTTGACAACTAATAAAAAAATAGAAAAATCTATTTGACAATTGTTCCTTTATTATTTTTAAACTATAAAATTTAAACGAATATTTAATAACTGATACAGAAAAGCAGCCAAGTAAAAATATTTCTTGCTATGTTTTAAAAAGCAATATCTAACTATTTCACAAAATTATTTAATTACGAAAATGATCCATCACAATATATGATGGAATCAAATAAAATAACAAACCGTTAAAGAAAATTTTAATCGGGAATGAGCTACGAACCACACTACAATAATAAAAAAAGATCTCTTACAATTTGGATCGCTCGTAGCAGAGTCGATAGGGTACTTGGCTAGTGTTCCAAAGAATAAAAAATTAAAATTTAGTGAAAATATAAATTTACTTTCTTCGATTAGCATTTGCGCTTTAACAGTGTGGTGTGGTGTACGGTGTCAAGGTTAGCGGGATAGAGTGCTAAATTTTAATAAGTAGTGACACTGATACTATCAGTGGTAAAAGAAAAATTATGCTTGACCGTTTGAGAGGAATAGACTATGATTGGTAACGCAGAAGTGATTGTGGTGATTCAATAACTTCAGTGAAAAGCAATTTTTTTACTAATAGTAATTTGAAAAGTATTAAATACTTAAATTAATCAGTGTTTAGTAAAAGCGGTAGTGCACCGTTTTAGAGACTTTCTAACAACAAGCGTTTGAAACTATTTTTTAAATTATTGGAGTTTGGATTTATTACATAAAAGTCAATAAATAAAAGTTATGTCAGGAACAAAATAAGTGATTTGAAATGAAAAATACTTTGTTGTATGTTCGAAGAGCTACATAGATAAATATGTCTACATTATATTAATATCTTTAAGAAATGTTCTAAAAAAATCAAATCAGAATTTTTTTTATCCATCACTTGCTAAGCACACACGTTAACATGCACTCATGACTAACACTCTTACTAGTAATTCATAGATAATCATAATAGTGTAGAAGGGCAGTCTGCTATCAATTACTGATTTCTTCATGTGTTGATTTCAACGCTGCTGTTTCAATCTCTATAAATGTTCTGCGTCAGTTTCTTGACGCCTACAGTTTTATATATTTTAAGCATTTTAGTTTTCTTTTTAATTTTCCCTCTTATAACTATAGACGTTGTTAAAACTTTAGCGAGCCCTAAGCCTTGTAAGTGCTGCTTCTGGTCTACTTTTTTAAGTTGTTATATTTATTAACAAAGTAGTTTGACGTTGCATGTACCTCAAAAGGACCAATGAGCTTAAATTTCTTTGGACTGAACTTTTTAGCAAATGTGACCACCTGGATACCTGAGGGTGATCTTCTCTGACCTGATGGTGTAGCACCAGACAGGTTGCGAAGAAAACCACAACGTGCAAGAACATTGGACTTATCAGTTGTAGTTGTCTTACCTAACGCCTTCTGGTATTATACTAAAGACAATAGCATCCAAAGAACCTTTTGATCAAAAAGCTTTGATTTTTGGTGATCCACGATGGAGATTCATTCGTGTTGCTTGTTTGTTGAAGACTGTCCCACTTTATCAAGTATACTCCTCCTTTACAGCTTAACTAATAGATTCGCTGAATGCATAACTTTAAAGGATCAGTTGTACCTTGTAAAATGCATAGCATTAAAAGAATAATGTAGGATCATTGGTGATCCAGACATCCAGCCTTGTAATAAAGAGCTCTGATCGTAATGTCTACTAGTAAACGTAATGTCTATTAGTGGATAAATCGTTGCCAGAATTTGTTTTGAAACATTTTTCGGAAATAGTTGTTGGAAAAATATTTGTTAGGCAGATAATGTAACGTTTTATAGTGTTAAGAAAGAACAATAAATTTTATGGTGACTTAGTGAACGTAAGGATTTCTAATAGCTCTGAAAAGGACCACTGGTGATACTTGCAGTCAATATAATAAAGAAAAGTTCCAGAAAATAGCTTTGTACGTTCGCATATATACTTTTCTTTAAATTAAATGATCTTAAATACCTGGCTATGTAGCTTACGTACGCTCAAACGTGATAAACTATTTTTCAATGTCTTTAATATACCTGCTCTTTAAAACAATAAATAGCACACAACTTAAAGATAGTGCGTAACAACAACAAAAAGTAAAGCCTGTAAAGAAAATATTTTAGAGAGAAAAGATTTACATTCATCAACCTTAATGGAGCATTAACAATCAGTGCTTCCTCAGATGATTTGCAACATTAATGGATTCAATTAATCCTGTCGTTTTGTAAACATAATTGTTAGAACGAAATACGAAAAATTGGTAAACAGTAGTTGGAAACTTATCTTTTACCAAATTACTGTAGGTCTTAATCTATAAGAAAAAAATCATGGGGATCAAAGAAATAAGATGATGAAATAAAGATGACAAAGCTGCAGAGAAGTATCATCCAAGTTGAGTAAAAATATGTAAAAAAAAATATAAGGAGTTACTTTGATAACAACGATGTGCAGAGTATGCAGTGTACAACAGATGTTTTTTATCAAAGACCTTATGTGTATTATTGTGTATGACATGACACTATTTCACGTCAACTTTTTTGTTAACGCAATAAATTATAATAATAGTTCATTTGTTGCAGACCACAAAGGGGATCAGTGGCTCCTGATTGAATGCTTATGGTAAAAGAACGATGTAGTCAATTTAAAAAAAACGAATTAATAAGCTTAAGCCATCTTGAAAGTGTCGAGAGTCAGTATGCACAATTTCAGCAAGATTGGTTGGAAAGTTTTTTTGGTTAGCTATCACAACGGTCTTAGCGACTCTGTTATACATGTGCGTAAAATGAATATCAATAAGCATACGTACAGAAGAATTTAAGTAACTGTCGTGGCAGATTAGTAAGAAAATGTGTTGGGGGATGTACCCTCTTTTTGTAAGCGAACAGAAATACAGTGGTCTACAAAATAAGTTTATATAGTCCATGTGCAAAAAGAAGATACCCTTTTAAGTAAGCGTACGATGACACGGGGGCCCTATATTGTGGTTATTTGTTCTGATGGGCTACTGTGTTGTAATAACTACTAACGTGAGGAGTCACTGACTTTTTTGGTTTTTTATTTATTTTTTTAGTATTATTTTAAATGGTTTATTACATGTTAAATTAAGGTCCCATTTAATTTGATTTTTTTCAGCAATCAATAAAATACGTAAACAAATCAAGTTAATAACACGTTGCAGCTAACTTTACACAATTAAACTATAATTTTTCCTTAGTAAATAAGGTTTGTTTTTTTTCAGTATATTTTAAATAAAAGTTAACAAAATTTGCTAACTAACGTAAGGAAAAGTTGCCTTTTTTTGGGGTTTTTTGATAATTTCAAAAATATGTAAAATGGTTTTAAAAAAAAAATTGTATAATTTCTTTTTGTCTTATAAGCAAAAAGACAAGAAGATTGTTCTGGATGTTTTCTTGATTATTATTAAAATCTAAAAACTCGATCATTAAAGTAAAAATAGGTGATAATTACCGAGTGAGTGTCTCGAATATGTTGCAGCATGTGATCAAGTGTGCGCTTAGGCATGTCACATTTTCTATAATCTCCCCATCTACCTGCAGCAGCTGATTGATCAGCTGGTGGACCATTTGTAAGCCGACAGCACAGTGGCTCATTACATTCAGCATTCGATCCTTCTTGGTAATATGGATCATAATGCGTATCAGAAATATGTAGCACTTTAAATACTGGGACATCTGTACGTAACGGTTTAAGAGGTAGTACTTTTGGTTTTTCTTTTGGGGGAAAAGCCACTTCCCAATCATGTAATGGATTATAGACATCTTCACATGCATCACCAATGACAAAACTGCATATCTGAGCTGGAGTCATTTCTATCTGTTTTAGTACAAAAATAACTTCTCCCTGGAATTAAAATTAAAAAAACATGAGATTACCAAAAGTTTCTAATAACATTTAAAGAGTGAAAACACAACAGTCAATTTTATTTTTTTCTCAAAAAAAGGAACGTTGGTGTAAAGGGAGTTTTAGTGTAGAAGATTCAATATGCTCTGAAGCAGTTCCGGTATCTTTTCTTAAAAAGTGCTAAAGTTTGAATTAGTGTAGTGAAGCCTAACCAATAATAAAAAAAAAATTATAATAAAGTATAAAAGTTACTGTTATTCATCTCAGAAACCATATCAAAACGTCCTCCTATTACCAAAGCCTTTTTGACGGTCTGTTGTTGTTCAATCTTTTTACTAACTCAGACTAAAATTTTTCTCATGTTTCTTTAAAAAAAAATATAAAATATATTATCGAATTTGTAAAAATATACTTAATATAATTAGTAGAGATTCAAACAGCAGCATAAAAATTAACAAATATAGAATCTACGTCATGTAAAATTAGCTTTTGACTATAACCCTTACAGTAATCACTTAAATCTTCAAGATTTTTTAGTAGTTTTTTAGTTTTTAGTAGAAGAACATGTATTCGTATTTATTGTTGCAATAAAAAATTGAAAGATTACCCTCCAGGATTTTGTTTGTTTGGTTACAAAGTTGTAAGACTAGAAAAAAGAATGTTATAGTTATATTCTTTTGTCAGTTCCAAATCCTTACAGTTATTACAGATAGTTCTTTCTTTTATTAAAATATGCAAAAAAATGTAAAAAAGTGAAAAAATGCAAATCAGTGACCTTTCAGGGCCAACAAGTATTTCATGGCTTTAGGAACGCATGGTTTTTTTCTGAGAAATGTCAGGAATAGATGGAGAATTTTCAACTAAAAAGGTCTTATCTTATGTTTCAACGTACTGCGGTGTTTCATTAAATAAGTCTCAGGCAAAGCCAAGATAAGGGGTCACTAGTACCTTTATATTTTGGGCAAGTCATCAGTGGCTACTGAGTCCTATAATAATTTGTATATTTTCTATGTAAGTATGTCTGTAGCATATTATATAATGTGTATTTTCGGTGCCATGGAATGCAAGCCAAAGAATAGAGAACGACCAAAGATAATAAGAATAGTGGTATAAGTGTGAAGTATAATTAAGCGAGCGTGTGAGTAAGTAAAAAAAAAATTATGTATAAGCCCATGACGTTAGGGAAACAAATTAAAGGCCAGGTCATCGCGTCGATTTAGGTACGTGGCACAGAGAGAGCAGAGCGTACAGATCAGCGTTTAAGAATTACACGGTTAATGACAGATGACATAGGAAAAAACAGCAGAAAGAGAGATAGAGAGAGAGAGAAAGAGAGATAAAAAGAGAGAAAGGTAAGTGATTAAGATATATAGAGAAGCTATTTACGTAAATAAGCCACTACTGATACTAGGACGAGCTTCAGTTAGGGCAGAAATACCGTACACCATACAAAAACGTATACATCGGCAGGCATACTGACCTTAAATGAACCGTGTATTAACGCTTATATTTATGTGAGTCACAGAAAGAGACAAGTCAAATATTGAGTGTGTGTGTGTGTGTGTGTGTAAATGAGTTAATATCACGGGTGTGCTGTGGTATTTATAGAAGTTATTGTGCTTATTTGTAATAAGAGCTTTATTATTCTTCTTTTAGGTTTTCTTTTAAGAGTGTTTGAAGTTTTTGAGCCAGACACTTGTGGCAGACCTTCTAACAAAGAGGTAACCAGTATATAGCAACGAGATAAGTGACGTACAAGAGAGCTTTGTGACAGGATATTAGGACGGCCACTTACTGGCTGGATAAACCACGTCACAGGCTCAACTCCTTTTATTACCTAAATTTGTAGCATCTCTGCGCTCAACCCCTTTCTTTACCTGTATTCGTAGATTTTCTGTGCTCATTTTACCTCTGTGCTCATAGCACCTCTGTACTCAGGTACGCCATCCTAAGAGCGTATTACTCATACGCCGTTTACCTAACTAAATGCTCGTAGTGCCTCACCACAGACCGCTACTAGGTCATTTTAACTATTTTCTTACACTTTTTTACTCCTATCTATCCTCTTTAATTTTCTTACTCTTTACCTCTACTTTTGATCCCTACATGGAGGAAATAGTAGCACATCTGCTGCCCTACTTGAGTAGACGTTAAATAAATTAAGAACTGAGCGTGCCCTCCAGGCAGGAGGAGCTAGTATTGTCATGTAAACACTTGAGATTTCAAAAATTAGCTTTCATAGCCTTATCATGCACTACTATCTACTTTCGCTGTATATATTAGCTAGTTTTTAGAATTTTCTTACTCATGGGACTGTATTAAACAGTACGATGATGTTAAACAGGCCTTGATGTTGTCTCGAATCTCAGGATAAACTATATCATATTCCTAGCACACTGTGTCGGATTGTATTATATTTTTATCACTTCTAGTCAAATGTTTGGCAAATTTAGTGCCATGACCACAGTTCTGGTAGCCTAATGTATGAAGCCTGATGTCCTGCAGGTAAAGTTCTTATGACGCTGTTTAAAGGACTACGTTCTCAAACACGATAAGTTACTGCATTAGTCGTTATGTAGCTGTTGTATTATACAGACATAAATCTCAAATTATAAACTGTGAGATTGCGATAACTAAGCTACAATGCTGTCGTAAAATATAAAAAGCAATTAAATTAAAAGGTTATTCATTTCCTAACAGTATTCAAGCTGTGTTCTCTGAAATATTTAACTGTATTCCAACAAACAGTCTACTAGATCTCATTGTAAGCCCTAATTTAATGAGGCTTGATAACGTTTATTTATACGTAGGCATTTCATTAGCCAAAGTAAAAGTTTTTAAAGAGCTGTTATAGACCATAGACGATGTATAACACTTCGCATAAAGTCCTCTGTTTTTGTTGGTTATACGTACAGGTAATGAAATATCTCATGAGGGACAATGTCAATATTTTTTTCGTCAAAATAAGTTGAATTTGAAACGTGGATACAAAAATAATGTTAACTCTTACTTGTTGTGCACTTAAAAGACCTTTGCTCAAACTTTCGGAATCATGACAAATATGGATTCATTGTCATCGACAACTATAGAGAAATAAACAGCGGTTGGTATTGCAAAAATTTTGACAATTTGCTATAAATATAGGTCACCCATAATACATTGTTTTGTTAACTCTAAGATTTACAGGAAAAAAGATACTGAGTTAATAAGTGACAGCTAAAAAGCCACTGAAAATCAAAAATTACTCAAATTTGGAAGAAATAAGGTTAAAAAAAATTTTTAGAACCCTTTAAAACCTATTACTAATCCTCTTTAGGAAATTATCACTAAAATAAGGACGTAAAACAAGAAATTATTTTGTTTTTTTTTCTAGATCATGTAAAATAAGCCTGCTATCTATTACATAAATAAAACGACATAAATACAATTATGATATTACACCGTTTGAGAGAGCAATTAGTCCACAAAAGGAAGATGATCATGATAAAACTAATCTTACAAGCACTCTCATGAATATTGCATGATTAAGGATTATTCAGAAAAATGCAACTTGCATTTACAATTTTTAATTGCTCACAGAAAAAGCTACAACAAAAATAAACCTCAAAAGACGCAACAACAATAGTAAACCCAAAGAAATTGGAGCTTTTATATTTGATCTTATTGCTAGAAAAAAAAAAGATCATTGTTATTTTTTCTGTCAATTGCTAGAACAATGCAGCAGCAAGCACTGAAATATATGCAGTGAAATGATCTAAATAAGCCAGTCGATACATTTATAGTTACTAAGACTCTGTGATTGTGTAGCAGGTACCCATAAAAAAATGTGGTGAGTCTTAACACTTCTCCAAAATAAAAAAAATAAAAATCATTTCTTATGAGCAACGTAAAAAGGTAAGCAGTAAGAGCGATATATAAATGCTAAAAAAGTTGCAAACTTGGAGTTAAATGTATATGTAATCAAAGAAAACTTGTCTAAAATACTTGATATTACTCAAGAAATCGATAAAATGTAATATGTACTAAATAATCCACAAGTTCAAGGTTTATTTACTCACAATTCATTAATGCGGGAAATCGTTATCACAAGCCAACTTATCGTAACTATCCATGACGAAAGTGTGGCATCTGAAGTCGGAATGGAACATAGCAGGCTAATCGTATAGTAATGATACAGTATTCTTAAACGAAACATCGATAATTGGTACATGCTGACTGTAATAGATGTATTTCTAAAGTATGAATGGGATGCACCTTAAAGAGAAAAAGTAGTAAATACGATGGAACATGGTAGGCGGATCTCATAGCAATAATATACTATTATCAAATGAAGCCTAGATTATTGGTACAAGCTAACTGCAATAGACTTATTTTTAAAGTACAAATAAGATGCACCTTCAAGGGAATAACTCGTAAATATGTTATAGCATCGATGCAGTCCACTCTACAATATGGTCAAGTACCAAAAACTTTGCACACTACAGATACAAGATGATCTATGATAAAAGATTTCAAGACTTCATACAAACTGTAATATTTACCCTCATTAGACTTACAGCAGTCTTTAGGAATCTTTATGTTAAAGATCTAATCCCCCTTTGGAAAATGAGACGTGGAACAAGTTTGGTCTTTCTGGACATTAAACGTGGCCTAATTTAAAACTAAATTTTATTGCAGCCTGTAACACTCAAAAGCATTGAGTAATCAGAATCAAGCTTACTAAGGTTATGGCTATCACTGAAGTCCAACTTTAATAAGAATACATAGCTTACGATAGAATAATGAAAAATTGTGCTTCAAAATTAATGATTAAGTGCTTGTAAGTAAAGCTTTAAATGTTTTTGAAAACTGCTACAAGCTAAACTGCTCGTTAAAAATATTTACATTTTACAAGGTATCGAAAACCAATTTATTACTTTTTATTTAGGAGGTTACCAAAATTATTTAATCTTAGGCAGCTGTGATGGGTCAGAGCCCAAAAAAGTTTAATATCAAGACGT